AGCTAATTTATAGATTCAAATTAATATTGTGTGTTTCCCATGAATAACCCAAGAGAACATGAGAATGAGATTGTTTTAAAGAGAAACACAGGGCAGGCTGATTTTAGAGAGCGAGAGAGGTTCTGTTGGGAGAGGCTAGAGAGTGAAGAGATTCTCTGGTTGGCGGGGGCGCATGGTCCACCGTCTCAACCCCAATCTTTTTGGTTTTTGAAAAAAATGAGTGGCGGGGTGGATCGTCGACCCTGGTTCGGATCGCTGACCTGATCGTGTCTGGTGGTTCGGATCAATGGTCCAAATTGCTTTTGCATCATCTAAATTGGTGATCTAAAAATAATAAAATAAAAAAATAAAAACCAAAACTAAATAGATGTTTACGGATTGAGGATTTAGGCAGTACTAAAAAAAATTAGATAAGCATAAAGAAAAAATAAATAAAATTGAAAAGGGGGTTTAGGGGATAACCAGGTTGGGACCAGTACTATTATGGAACTGATTTGGTCCTGACTAAATCCGTATTTGGATCAACGAATCAAATGGAAAATTATAGGGTTTTAAAACATCGGTCCACCCATGTATCTTTGTAGGATTGTTGGAAAATCACAAGTGAGGATTTAATGAGGACCTAACAAAACATTAGATGTGGTTAGGAAAAAAAAAGAAATGTAATAATGAAATGCGTGGTTTTAGCGGGAAACTGGGCTGCATCTATACCTTCTCGAAGCCAATTGGGTCCAAACCGATTCCAAGTCTATATCAGTGATGCGGATTGAGAATTGTCTGTTTTAAAACACTAGTGCTCCAACGAAGACTTGCATGACTTAAAACTTGAGTGTCCGGTATTGGATTGGCCCCAAGATTTATCAGGATTGAGAATCAGCCTCTCTCTCTCTCCCATTGGGCAACTCGATTTTGGGGGTCAACCGGAGAATTTTTAAAAAAATTAATAAAAATCTAAATAAATAAGAAATTAAGTTGCAATGAACTTTTCGTATTTCTAACATTTTTGCACATATTGGAAAGTGTTTTATAATACGTTTGACAAAACAGAATTTCAATACTCTTATATTTGAAAATTTGTATAAACGCATTGCTGGCTTTCTACTAATTTGGATTATATGCTCTTTTTTTTACATGCTTGATTCTCTATATACCATTTCTTCAAGCACATTGTGAGTAGAAACTTGACAATTGATCAGGCTCAGTGTCATTCATGTTTGCTATTATGATATCTTCTTCATGAAATTCTACAGGCCTAGTGTTATTCATGCACACTATTATGATGTTTCTTCATGAAATTTTACAGTCTATTCAAGCTCATCCTACTCAATTTACATCAGAATCAAACTTAACAAAGATGGCCAACGATAGCATGAGAGATGAAAACTAGACTGCCATGAGATGAAAACTCAATGCAAAATCTGTGGTTAACAACCTTCAATTTTTGAAGCGACCAACTCCAAATCCATGGTTAACAACGGGAATTCCCAAGAGGAATTCAAGAGCATTGAATGGCTTTGCATCTAAGTTGAGGTTGCAAAAATTGACAATGAAAATAGTGAGAGAATGTTTTTATCAAAGAGAGGATTCTCAAATTGAGAGGCAGGACGACTGAGGAATCGATCCTACAATGAGCTTCAGAGATTTAGAGAGAGAGTATTAAGAAGATGGATATTCATTTTGAAGGTAATGAAAATAAAAAGCTTCGAGTTAGAGAGAGAAGTGAGAGGAGAAATTAGTTCAAGTTAGAGAGAAAAACCTTGACAAGATGTAAATGGATTTTGCAAAAAGGGGCCAGGAAATGAAAATGGGTTTCGTTTGAAAAATAAGAGAGTGAAAATAGCAAGTGATGCCTATTTGTCAACCAATACAGATTTGAGACCTTGATCTTGATATTTGAGGAGACAATTTTGACCCCTCAAACATGTATTTTGCTTTGAGCATTAATACTTTGTTGAATCATTTAATATTTTGAAATATTCAGATATTTGAATGCAATCAAACATTGCCTTAGCCTTGAATATTTATTATTACTGCCTCATCTTTATATATCTGATATGTTCATTATGTTTTTTTATCTAAAATTGAATATTCAAAATTGTATAATTTACGTTATTTTTAAACGATCCATATTCCCAATTTTTTCCACCGAGTTTTTGAAATAGAATTAATTTATTATCGATGTTTTAGTTTGCCAATATGTCGTTATTCTCTCACTCGCTAACTATGCTCTTTATAAGCTTCCCCTGTGGTATAGAAAATAATCATGGGTTTTGGCCACAAAAAGATGTTCTTTGTAGTGATTCTCTGTGGATAAAATGCATATATTATTCATTAATGTGAAAAGAAATCATGTATTATCTACTAGACTGATATAGAAGGTATATATTGTACTCAATAGATATAGGAATGATAAGTACAATATCTTGTATTTATGGTAAGTCTGGGTATAATTTAGCTTTCTCTGATTTATTTTTAGTTTTCCTTACGTGTAATTTGTCTATGAAAGGCAAGTCTATACATTGCTCTTGATAAGCTTGTCCTATGGTATAGAAAATAATCATGGCTTTTGGCCATAAAAGGATGTTCTTCATAAAAGGAAGCACAAGACGAAGGCATCATAAAACGGAGGGACTTCATTGACTTGACTTAACTTAAGATACGGGCCGGGCGGGCGGGCTCCACGCTAGAGAAACCATGAACCATAATAGAAGAGCTTGCCCCACCCATGAGTAAATATTTCGTAGAAGAGCATACGAAGAAGAGAGAAGGGCCCTACGGTTCCGCCCGGATGGCTGTAAGATAATGGCTCACGGGGAATCTCGGTCAAGTCAACTGAGCCTTGCACGATTTAATCACGCCCTTTTTGCCGGCTCGGTGCATGCCGCGAAAGCTGCCTCCTCTACGTTCCTCACGGGTCATTCGCCCGCTTGCCCGTTCGCACCGGGACTGCGATTGGCATTTTTAGCCGGGAAACCCCGTCATATATTTGATCCCGCCCAGATATGTTTGCAAGTGAGATAATTGTCTCTTCAACATTGCTGCATCTCTTTTCGGGAGACGATTAAATCGACCCATCTTTTGTTCTGCTCTCAAGTCCCTGAACTTATGAAGTCTTGTTTCTGTAGTGGACCAATTCGTTGACATACCACCAAGATATATTATTCATTTATGTGAAAAGAAACTATATATTATCTACTAGGCTGATATAGAAGGTATATATGGGAATGATAGGTACAATATCTTGTATTTATGGCAAGTCTGGGTATAGTTTAAGTGTCTCTGATTTATTTCTATTTTTTCTCATATATAATTTGTCTATAAAAGGCAAATCTATATATTCATATAATTAATGGACATTGAGTCTCTTCAGAATCTAAGACTCTTCACAATTTATAAATATGCATGTATATTATGCTCCTTTTTAGTCCCTTGATCAGAAGACCTAATTTGCATAATATGAAATTTTCTAGAATCATATAAGGATCCTTAGATGATTATTCTCAACAAAAAAAAAAAAAGATTTTAAAGTTTGAGTTTGTAACACCTACTTCTCACCATCTAAAAATTGGATGGTCTTTTATTCAATCTTAAGATATTATTTTGTCAAATACATAGAGGATACAATTAGGTAAATTTTCCTATTGAGGTTAATTAATTTTGGGGTCTTAAAATTAATTAGAAAATATACAATAACACCATTTAGTTTTGATACAAAGAGGTCACAGACCATTAGATCCATTGTTTGGGCACAAAATTCAAAATAAAATTTCTCAAATATTGTGGCATACTTTCATCTTTTGAGGTTAATATACGGGGTTTTTTTTTCCTATTGAGGTTAAACTATGGGGTCAAGAATATTACATCCCCAAATTTTGCGGTCTTAAAATTAATTAAGAAATATATACCATAACACCATTTACTTTTAATGCAACGATGTGACAATTACAATTGACCATTGGATTTGAAATCGAGTGGTTAAGGATGTGCTATTGTTAGGACACAAAATTTTAAATAAAATTTTTCCACTGTTGTGATATACTTTCATCTATTAGATTTTATATCGCTAAAAGCAATTGTGACCTCCTTGTATAAAAAATAAAAGAAAAATTATATAAATATCCGCTTTACTTTATGTTATTACGAAAATACCGAAAACTTTATGTTATTACTCATATGTCCAGTTTTTTAACTTCATAACATTTTTTTTAAAAAAAGAAGACTAAACTACTCATTTTTTATTTTTTAGAAACCAAATTTATTTATTTTTCAATTTTTGAAAAACTGAAACTTTTATCTCTAAATATACAGTCGATCTAAATGTCGTATTCTTTTTTAAATAATACAATACCTACTTACTATTACTCAAATAGTGTATCGATAAAAACATATGGGCCTCTTTAAGTGGTTTTGGTATTTATTAAATCCCACTCATTTCATGATGTTTCTTTTTTTGTTTTTTAATAAAATAAAACATCATTTTCTTTTTGAAAAAAATTAGATTGTGTAGGGTGGGACTCGAACACGATAACCAAAAAGCCAATTTATCCATAACTTTAAATATTTGGGCATACATAATATTGATAAAAACTCGTTACATAAGCTGAGGTCAATTAACTTGGCGGAGTCCACAAATTGAAATTCAGTTTTTCAAAAACCAAAATTTTTTAAATTTCAGTTTTCCAAAAACTAAAACTGGGTAGTTTCATCTTTTTTAAAAAAATTGTTATGAAGTTAAAAAAATGACATATGAGTAATAACAAAAAAATTTAAATATTTTTGTAATAACAAAAAATAAAAAAAGATACTTAGGTGATTTTCTCAAAAATAAATGATCTCATTACCGAGAGAGTAAATAAACAGTAGACTCCCGCGGGAGTATAACATCTTGTGGCAATAAATAAAAAGGGAAAAGAATATCGTGTTGGTTTGCGGTGTCATTCGTTTATCGACGCATGCCTTTTTAACGTTCTCGCCAACGAAGATCCATTTCAATGAACCAGACCAACAAATCTTAGCTAAAAAGAGAAACAGAAACCCTAGCTGATTCTCTTTCCAGATAATCTCTCTTACGTTTAGTTGAAAATTACTTCAGTTTTTCTGAGTAATTCATTGGTTTCCCAACGAGAATTCAGAGATTCTTTTGATCGTGATCGTCTTTGGGTTTAGATCGAATTAGGGTTTTCTGATCAATTAGGGTTTTTTTGGGATGGCTCAGGCGGTGGAGGAATGGTACAAGCAGATGCCCATCATCACCCGCTCGTATCTCACTGCTGCAATTATAACCACAGTTGGATGCTCTCTCGATGTATTTTTTTTTCTCATATTTTTTATTGTTTTTATTTTTTTGGTTTTGGATTCAATGGGTTCTATTGAGATTGATTTGATTTATGGGGTACTGAGTGGTTCTAGGGTTTTAGCTGTTTTCTCGGGGTCATTTTGGTGCTTTTTTTCTCCAGCTTTTTTCTGTTTCTTCTAGAGATATTGATTTGGCTTGCAAGATTCTCTTTCTTTTGGGGTCATTTTTTTTTTTTTTGTGTTTTAATGATGTTGTACACTGGTGCCTCTGCAGATCATTTCTCCATTTAATCTCTATCTGAACCTCAACCTGGTTGTGAAACGTTATGAGTTTTGGCGCCTCATCACCAACTTCTTTTACTTCCGAAAAATGGGTATGGTTCTGATCTCTGCTTTCATTGATCTCGAGATCTTATTTCTTCTTCTTTTTAAAATTATGGATTATCTCTGTTGATTTATGTTACACTGCGTTTTAATGTGTGATTTGGATGCACTATTTTCTGGACTTTAATAACTTTATTTCCTCCCTTTCAGAATAGCTTCTTTCCAGTTTTTTATTGTTATAAGTGAATTAGAAGATGGGACGGTTCTTTCTGGTTAGATTAGAAATATATACTTTTGGCCACAGCTTGATTTCTTGATTGGCCGGTTTCTGTTTTGTTTTCCTTTTCTTTTTTGTTATTGTTTGTTTCGGAAAATTTTGTGGCCAAAAGGGTTACGTGGGATGATTTCAATTAGAGGGTACCTGCATTCAAACTTAGGCAGTGAAGATGCCGTCTTTTGTATTACATGTTGGCTTAATGATCTCCTCATTACTCTGTAATGCTATTTTTATAAAAGGTAGGTGCTTTTTTCCTTCTCTGCTTAATATCTTTATTTTTTCTGATAAATGCCAGATTTGGACTTTTTGTTTCACATGTTTTTCCTTGCTCGGTACTGCAAGCTCCTTGAAGAGAATTCTTTCAGGGGACGGACAGCAGATTTCTTTTATATGCTCTTATTTGGCGCCACTGTGTTAACTGGGATTGTTTTGGTTGGTGGAATGATACCGTATGTCTCTGAGACTTTTGCCAAGATTTTCTTCCTCAGCAATTCTTTAACCTTCATGATGGTAAGTTGATGACATTGTTGCCATGGTTCATCTTTTTATAATAAAAGTTAAATGAAGGCTATATAAGACCTTATACTTGGTTTCTATATTTTGTAAAGATGCTATTTTACATCCTGTGAATTTCAGGTCTATGTCTGGAGCAAGCGGAATCCCTTTATACACATGAGTTTCTTGGGTCTCTTTACTTTCACAGCTGCTTATCTCCCTTGGGTGAGTGTTCTCCTATTTCAATTTTGAAGCAGTTGTTCAATTCCCTTTCAGTAGTAATAGCCATTAGTATTTCATCAGCTGATCTAAATGGTTAGATAGTTGCCTTAATAACATTCTTTAACATTATGCATTTAACTAGGGCTTAAGGGAAATTTATGCATTATAAGGAGATGAGGACTATAGTCTTGTCAACTTTGTAGGGTTATTATCTTGATTACCAACTTTGTCTATACGGTCTTATGTCTCCATTAGAGTTGTCAAAGTATAAGGGATGTGCCTCATGCATGACAATAAGTGTAGTGTCAAGGGCACCAGTACTAAGGTGACCTTAGCAAAAGGTCACGAGGAGGCTTACGCTTTCTACTTTGAGGTTACACCTCACTCTTGATGCCAGCCTTACTTAGGAGGCTAATGCCTCCTTCAAAGGGGAAGATTCACTCTTTTATCAGCTATTTGTTGCTTGTTTCAGAATGCATTGGTAAAAGGTACATAATGTCTTTTGTTTGTTCCATGCTACACACATGAAAGATATTGTAGCTATTTTTCCCAGGGATGATCTCCCATACTTTTGGGGAAGTGTTGATTGCACAAAAGACCCATTTCACGGTGTGTACTGTATTACAGACCTCACAGTTGTCCTTCACTGCTGTTTTGTGAGTGTCGATTTGTAGATCCATAGTGTGGGTAAGGAGTGTCGGTTTGCTGATCCGTAGTGTGGGTAGCTAACATTTCCCCATTGAGTTGCTTACACCCACATTCGCACTTGTAGGAACCTTGCACTTATTTGGTGTTTCTGCGAAAGGAAATGTGTTCCTTGGAATTTTTGTAACTACAAAGGTATTCTCACATGTATTCTAGTTGATTACTTAAGGCTTTTCGCACAAATATCTGAACGCATGTTCTCCATGAACGCAAATGTGGCTTCACCATTAAGCTCGTGGGCCGGACCTTCTAGGAAATTTTCCAGAAGCTTCTCTTCCTTACGGATGCTCTGATATCCTTCTTCCACTTCCTCTAAATAATCTATTTGTAGTTTAGTTTATTTGTCCATGCCCTAGTGATCCTTTATAACTATGTTTTTATTTAAAATCTTTGCTCAGGTTTGAAGCCAATTTAACTAAAGAAGTTCATTCTAAGGCCAACATCCTTGTCTCATGGATCGAGGACTCAAATGATCTTCTATTGCTACAACTTCTCTTTCAAACATGGGGCTAGAATTCATGTGGTTTTCATCATCCAGCCTCGTCTCATTTATTACCTCATAGATCTATTTCTATCATGCTTCTCCTCAAACTCTTTCAGGGCATTTTTGTTTGGTGGAATGTTTGGGGAGTGGGAGACCCAAGTTCCACCAAACTTTAATGCCATGTTTGTTTACGCTCTGCTGAAGCTGCAGTATGGAACTCGCGGCTTCTAGTGTGCTTAAAAACGTAAAGCATGGAAGGGGCGGCTTCCATGATTTATGGAAGGGGGCGCTGTGGCAGTCCCCTTTTCTGCCAGTCAAACACGCTCTTATTAAGGATTTGAATCCATTTCAACTACTGAATAGTTCTAGCTCATATCCATATATTTGTCTTATGTTTCTCCTCAAGCTCTTTATTTAAGATCTGCAGTCAGCTTAAACAATTAAAATTTCCTAGTTTGAGGCCAGCAACTTGTGCATCTTCAAATGTGTACATAAGCAAACATTTATGTGTTCCCAATATGTGAAATTAGAAAATAAATTGTGGGAGCTGGAGAGGACAGAGACAAATTTATTAGTAGGGCGTCCCAAGGAATCACCAAAGCACCTTGATTTCGGAAGTGGGAGGGCAGGTCATGTAGCTCGTGCCCTTATGGTTGAGGCTAATTTTATGGATTACTGAGATGTTGCCTTGACTTCTATTTTGTACCCAGTTTTTATAGATGTTATGTATTTGATTTATGAAAACATTTGAGGCATCATGAGTGGACATCTATATACTATAGTTGTCAACTCTCTTCCATTTTGGGGCCTTGGGATGTTATTTTCACCTTGAATTTGACATATACATACTTTTGTATACGATCAAGAAGCCCATGAAAATATATTTTGGGAAAAAAAAACTTGGAATACGTTTTTTGGAACTTGGCGAACATAAGCCATCCATTTCATGCTTGGGAAGATCTAGCCCTTAAACAACTCTAGATTAATCTTTTTTAAAAAAATTGTTCATCTGGTGATGATGAAACAATTTAACAAATCTAGGGTCAAACAAATCCCTCTAGGGTCTCAATCTCATCATTATTATTCATCCCTTATCCCAACTATTTGGGGTCGGATCCATGAATCAGGATTCATGAAATAGATTTTGCAAAAAATTTATGCTCGCTGCCAACCTAACGCAACCGTCCTCCTTTCTTCGGCCTTGGGATTAGCATGACCAGCATGGGACCAGCCACCTTTGGGTACCGGACCATCATCTTCCAAAAATGGACCCACGGTCATCGACCATCCCAAGTTCCCCCCCCCCCCGAAGTTATCTCCTTTGACGTGGTCTCTAGCCTCTGCATTTCTTTCCTTCGCTTGCTGGTCCCCCACTCATTCCCCCAAGCTATACCCCATTAGAGGAGGTTCCTCCTCTCGTGATGATACCAGCCCCCACCCCTGTCTCTCTCTTCCTCCTATCGCTTCTGGTCTCCCAGTGGCCTCTCCCACTTTGTCCTCTACCTTTTCGAGCTTGAACCCCATCTGTATTCCTAACTTTTACAATCTTCCTCTTCTATGGTCCGTCCCCCTGTTGTTAAAGAACCGTAAGACCCCTTGGGTTTCAATGATGACTCAGAAGACCTGAACCCAAACCTTGAAAAGGATGGGCTGGCCCCTATAGGCATTGAGAAATCTTCTTCCTACTCGTTGCCCCTCCCCTTCTCCTCTAAGGATGGGGAGAAGTTTGCAGAACTCTGCTTTCGGATCCTCGCAAGGCTCTTATGAAGATTATCACTCCCCTCTTTCGGTGACATCCTCTTTTGTTGATCGAATGGATGAAGCACAAGGAAAGATGCACTCTGTCATGAAGGTGATGGGACTCCCGCATACTGGCCCAAAGGGCCCTTTTCAAGAATTTTTCAAGGCAGACATCCAATCGAGAATCTAAGGTAAGTTGGAAGGGTAGTCGGGAACTTGCTAATCTGGTCTCAAGCATTAACTACGACCAACCTATCTCTCTTCCTCTCTCTTTCTCTAATCTTCCCGTGGCGCTTTCTCTTAGTGGCTCAGTGGTTTGGCGTTCCCCAAGGAACTCTCCTCTCTATTGACCCTCAATGCTGATTTTGTCCTGGAATATTTGAGGTTTGGGGTTGCCTTTTAAAAAGCAATCCGTTAGTGATCTCTACATAAAACACCACCCAATCATTCTTGTCCTTACCGAAACAAAACCTCCCTCCCCTACTCTTCAACAAGTTAGACAGGTCTGGGGTAGAAGGCCTTGTCGGTGGGAGGCTCTCCCGGCAGTAGGGGCCTTAGGTGGAATATGGGTGATTTGGGATCCATCTAAACATTCCCTTTCGTCCTCGGTCATAGCCTCCTTGTCCGTCACCCTGCTCTAGTTCAGGGTTATCGACGGTCTCCCGTGGAAATTCTCAGGCATCTATGGCCCCAACCAAAATTCTCTAAGGCCTCAGCTTTGGAACAAACTCTATCCTATTGCAGCTCTCCCCAATCCGACTTGGTGTATTGGGGGAACTTCAACTTCACAAGGTCAAGAAAAATTCCTCCTCTAGAATCTCTCCTGCCATGAATTTGTTCTTGGACTTTATTTCAGATAATCAGCTCCTTGACCTTCCGATCCAAGGAGCGCAATACACTTGGTCTAACCACTCTCCCTCCCCCTCCCTCCAAAAATTTGACAGTTTTTTGATCTCCTTAGATTGGGATGCCACCTTCACTATCTCCCACGTCGTAGCTTTGCCGAAACCCACCTCGGACCACTGTCCCTTGCTCCTAAAAATTGATCCATCATCTAGAGGCCCTAAACCTTTTAGGTTCGAACTCACTTGACTTCAAGAAAGTTCCTTGGCCTCACTATTGCCTTCTTGGTGGTCGTCTTTCTCGCGCTCTGTTTTCGAGTGGGTTGGCTTCAGACTGCAATGAAAGCTCCAACTTTTAAAAGCTCACTTGAGGACCAGAAGTAGGACCTTACCAGGTTCTTTTGCCTCGCAGAAGAACGAAACCCTTGTGGAAATTAAACACTTGGATGTGGAGGAGGAATCTAGAATCTTTCTTCCGTCTCTTCAGAGAACAAACTTGAAAGTTCTCTACCAATCCATTCTCAAGAAAGAGGAGATCTTTTGGTCCCAAAGATCTCGAGTCAAATGGCTTAAGGTGGGCGATCTCAATACTGGTTTTTTCCACAAGACAACAAACTGTAGGAGAAGGGATAATACTATCTCACATTATATGGTGGGGGATAGATGCCTCAACCAACCTAATGAGATTGAGGAAACTATCATTGCTTTCAACACTCTCTTCTTTGTTCCCATAGGACCTAGACCAACGATGGGGGATATCCAGATCCGTCTACTTCCCTACAAAAAAGCCGCATGGTTGGATAGACCTTTTTCGAAGGAAGAAATTCTAGCCGCTAAATCTAGATTGGCAATAGATAGGACGCCGGGTCTTGACGGATTTCCCATAGCACCTTTCAAAGTGTTCTGGGACTCTTTTTGCGGAGACTTCATGGCCCTTTTTGCTGATTTCCACACAAGAAAAGTTATTCACCGAGCAATGATCGCAACCTTTATAGCATTAGCTCCAAAGATCGAAGGAGCTGAATGCTTGAAGGATTTCTGTCCCATTAGCTTGGTCAATTTGACCTATAAGATTATAATTAAGGTGCTAGCTTCCTGCCTGAAGGAGGTTCTTTCCCGAGTGATATCCCCCCTCAAAGTACATTTGTCAAAGATCTTCAAATCTTAGATGGGGCCCTAGTCACTCACGAATGTGTCCACTTGCGACATATTACCAAAATCCCAGGTCTGATGGTTTAGTTAGATTGGGAAAAGGCATATGACCATGTGGAATGGGCCATTCTCGAAGAGACCCAATTGAGGATGGGGTTTGGAAGAAGGTGGAGAGGCTGGATGAGAGCTTGCTACAACCAACCTTACTTCTCTATCCTCGTCAATGGGTCCCCTAAAGGTTTTTTCCCCTCTAGGGGTTTGCGTCAAGGGAATCCTCTATCCCCTTTTCTTTACACCATAGCAGCATAAGTGTTTAGTCAGTCTATTTCTAAGATGGTTGCAGTGGACTTGGTGAATGGGTTGTGCGGCATCAATGGTCCGGTCGTCTCGCATCTCCAATATGCAGATGACACTTTGGTCTTTTGTAATGCCATACTAGAGGAAGTTGACTACCTCTTCTGGTTCCTTAGGTGCTTCTTTGCAACTGGTTTTAAGGTGAACTTTAAGACGATCAATATGATAGGGATCTCGGTCAACTTTGAAGAGGTCAAAACCTTCGTAGACCCTTGGGGTTGTTAGGCTGAAGAATTGTCTTCCAATTACCTAGGCTTACCTCTGTGCGTAGGTAAACTGAAAAAAAGACTTTAGTTGAATATCCTTGATAAAGTGGATCGAAAATTGGCAGGTTGGAAGGGAAGGTTCCTTTCCCCATCAGGAAGGCTTACCCTTATCAAAGCCACATTAGCCAATATCCTGGTCGATCAGATGTCCCTCTTTCGCATGCCAGTGGCGGTAGTTGAAAGGATAGAGAAGCTCATCTATAGATTCTTTTGGTCCGGGGATGCCACCACCCATAAGTTCCACCTCATCTCCCGGGATAAGTTGTGCAAATTGAAAAGACTGGGAGGATTGGGGATTCAAAACCGTAGACAGCAGAACGTCGCTCTTCTAGGTAAATGGTGGTGGCACCTCCTAACCTTAAGGGGACAGCTGTGGGGGTAGACATTTTGAGGTTTAAATACCATATACCCTCTTCTTCTTGGTTATCGGAGTTGAGATCCTACCCTATGGCCTCGGGGGTATGGAACTCTACCTTTCATTTGTTCTCCAAAGGGACCAGGTTTCATCCTAGAGAGGGAAATAGAATCCGGTTCTGGTCCGACTTTGGTTTGGTCAACAAACTCGTAAGGATCAATTTCTAGACCTATTCTCTTTGGCGCGACAACAAGGGACCTCAGTAGCAGATGAAATGAGAGTGGAGGGGCCCTTTAGATCTTGGAACCCTCTCTTTAAGAGGGTCCTAACAGACTCTTAGAGGGACGTTTTTTCCAACCTTGCCAATTCCCTATCATCATGCTTTCTGGCCCAGCAAGGGCACGACGGAATCATTTGGACCCCCTCTGCCTCAGGGGCCTTCACTGTCTCCTCCTCCTACTTGCTTATCACTCAACCACAAACCTTTCCTCTTAATCCCTCCTGCCCAAACATGGAACTTTTTGCACCTCTAGGATTAAAGTTGTTTATGTGGTTCACGCTTTCCTCAAAAGCGCTCATGGTAGATCATCTTCAAAGGAGAGGATTGAGGAATCAAATTCCCATCTATTCCTGTTTTGCCCTTTTGCTTTTGACTTATGGGGGAGGATTCTCTCTCTTCAACATAAGGTGGGTTTTACCCAAAGAGGTTCCTTCCCTTCTCAGTGCTATTGAACGTTTTTCGTGGCCCAAAACAGGAATTCTGTTATGGAAAACGGCGGTAGTAGCAACCATCTGGGCTCTTTGGATAGAACGCAACAATAGGATCTTTCGTGGGGAATGCTCAAAACCTAGTTTGGTGTTCTCGAAACTCAAGTCAAAGTTAATCTTTTGGGCAACTAACCACCAAAGCTTTCAAGGTGTGCCAACTTCAGCTTTCTACCAGGATTGGAAAGCCACTCTATAACATTCTAAAAGAAGAGCCCCTAGGGCTTCAAACTAGCACCCACCTCCCCCGGGACAACTGAAGCTCAACTTCGATGGGAACCCCAGTCCTTCAGGAGTTGGAGCTATTCTTAGGGATCACTTTGGCGTCACAGTAACTGCGACCTCCAAGTTTGTTGGGCACATGGACTCCATGGAGGTAGAAGCTACAGCCCTCCTTGAGGGCATCAGACTTCTTCAACCCTTTAGCAATATGACCTTTTTAGTAGAGGGAGATTCCAAGAACGTCATTTCGTGGGCCAATCATCCTTCTTCTATTCCATGGGTCCTGAATCGCATCTTTGACGAAATCTACCACTTATGACAGGGTTTGAACGTCGTCTGGAAGCACACGTGTAGGGAGTCAAACCACGACACAGATGCTATGGCCAAAGCGGCGGTTCTTGGTGAAGGGACTTAAGTTTTTTCGGAAGGGGTTTCTTTTAGTTGGTTGCATTGTTCTTTCAATGTAATCTTCAAAAAGGCCTTGTAATTCTGTTTTTCTTTGCTCTCTCTTCTGTCCTCGTACATCTGCTATCCGTATGTGGATTGCTTCTTTCTCTTCCTCTTCTCTATGTACCCCTTACTATATATAGAAGTTAACACTTCAAAAAAACCATCACATACCTTTGCACACACACACACACGAGGGGAATGCAAAATGACTTGTAAAATAACCAAAATAGTCACATGGTAAGTGATCGAGACACATCCTTGTTCTTCATAAGCTCCCAAAATAAACGGGAAAATTTACATGGTAAATTAACACTACGATATAGTTCATGTGGATGTTACTTGCAATAGCAACCAGGACACCCTTTCTGCTAAAAAGAAAGGAGGAAGCTCAATGACATCATGGAGGTGGTATTTGCCAATTGTGCTTGGTGGAGATCTTGTTTTGCCATGTTGGAGATCAGCATATGGGCGGCCGATTCCTTAGACGACTGGTTTAGCGGATTTTCACTTCTGACTTTCAATGGTCCATACGAGTTTGTGCTTTTCCATTGGATGTGGTGGCTTTCTCAATGAACAATTTGAGCAAGTTCATTGGATGTGGAGGCTTTCTCATGATATGGGTTAATGCATGTGTATATGGGATTGACATTAGCAGGTTCTTCACTCGGACTTTGAGATTGCAATCCCTGGGCCATTCGGCTGGATTGGCCTATTAGTTGACCAGGCTTGCTTGTTCAAGCTGGTTAAAACCTTGGTATGGCAGCGTTTTGTGTTATATGGACAGCTGGTTTAAGATATTCTTCTAGTAATTACAATTTCATATGTTTTCCATCTTCTCTGGCAGTTCATCCCCATTTTATTTCGGCTGCCTCATGTTGGAATAACTTCTGATTAGCCCCATCTTATCATCAATTCTAAATTGTACCATGAGCTTACTGTTAATTTATATATTTTTGCTTAAGTGGCAGAGATGGGAGTTTTGACGGTTATTTCTTTCATATTGGAACCTTTCGAGGGTGCTTTCAGTCCCACACCTCTTGTAAACTTTTACTGTTTTAGTAACACAATGTTAACAATTCTCAAAAAAAAATTTCTTTCATATTGGACACATGGGCTTGTATTTTCTTGTCTATATTTTTTCTAAATTTGGCATGGAGGTCTGTGTAAGTTGACTGCAATAATATTGCGTTTCCCCATGGAATTGTTCATTGTATCTCTTTAATTTAATCTATTTGATTTTACCATAGTTCTAGTAGCATTCTACCCTAGATCAGATTCTCCCTTTGTTTTTGTGCCATTTTTCTCTGATATATTCCTTTTCTTGTGCAGGTTCTTTTAGGCTTTTCGATACTTGTCGGTAGCAGTCCTTGGATTGACCTTCTGGTAAATATTATTACCTTTGATGGTTTCTCCTTTACATCAATTTCATGAAATTGTTTAATGCAATTTTTTCACATTTTTGAAGTGTTCATTAATTGAGGAAATGAATGTACTGTTGCTAATTTCATCTGTAGAAATGTCTCTGATCAGCAGAGCATGTTATTCACACAATTGCTTGATGCTCCAGTTGTGTATAATAGGAACTGGCTTTGAATATATTCACATTAAACAAATGTGTAGTTGTGTTTTATTTTCACAGGGTATGGCTGCTGGTCATGCATATTATTTTCTTGAAGATGTGTATCCACGCATGACAGGGCGTCGGCCATTGAAGACCCCCCAATTCATCAAAGCTCTCTTTGCTGATGAGACTGTTGTGGTTACACGACCAGCAAATGTGAGATTTGCCGCGGCAGCTCCCGAAAATCATGAAGAGTGATTTATGATGTCCTTAAAATCATGGTAATGGGACCCACACCTTTGCATTCCAACCCTATATGACCGATTTACATATTGCCAACTGTCAACTCATGCATGGCTCTTCTCTTTGATCACAGAGTTGAGATTAAATGGGTCATAGCTTTTCTGCATGTATTTGCATGGATTGGTTAGTGTTTCAAGTTTTAGAAATCTTTTATACGAAGAGTAGGGTCATTTGGATGGGGGTAGTCTATTGGTGTAAGGGGTGCTTAGTACCTTATATTGCCAACAATTTCTACTGTCATAAGTTGTGTAAATGAAAGGTAAAATAACTGAACTGTCCTTTGATCTTCTTGACAATTTGTAGTTCTTTTGTACTCTCACCCCCTCTCTATCAGTAGATGTTCTCTTGGTAGACGTGGGATTTTGAGATCCCGTGGTTGGGACGCCAAGGGCTTAACCACGAGGCTGCAACTCTCCTAATGGTTGGATGCTTGTCTCCAACCATTAGATTTCAGATGCCCCAATTTGCTGCTTGTGTGTGTGTGTGTGAGAGAGAGAGAGAGAGACCAACTCTTTTTTGGAAACCCACTTCTTAGACCGCCTGTGTGAGCCAGTGATGAGCTCTAAGAGCGGGCCTTACTTCGGCTTGATTCCTCCAAATTCTTGTATGATTTTGTTTTTTTTGTAGTTCTTTCATACTTTTTAAATTTGGGATTGTATATTATGAGATTTTTTATTTTTTTGTATAAGGAGGTCATAATTATTTTTAGCCATTAGACGTGAAATCCAATACATAAAAGTGTCATAAAATTTAAGAAATTTTGATATCACTTTTAACCATTAGATGTGAAATCCAATGCATGAAAGTGCCACAAAATTTAAAAAATTTTGATTTTAACTACGTTTAAATAATGACATGCTTTTAACCTCCTGATTTCAAATTTAATGGTCAATGATAATTGTGATTTCTTTATATAAAAAATAAATAATCTCATTGCTTTTTAATTTTTCGTTTGAATAAAACTACTCAAAGACACGTCTCTTCTCTACTAAATCAAATCGGTGTCCTCGAAGCAAATTTAGCATTCTTTGAAATGAGATGCCCAATGTGCCAATTTTTGTATCTTTTGTGTTCATGTATTGGCCCGCATGTGTTGTAATTTTGGTCGCTGCCAAATCACCTTATTGCCACCTTTAACTTTCGAAATCATCCCTGATTCAATTGTTCAATTAAAATGGACCTTTCTTGAGAGTAAGGTTTTGACATGGTTTTTTTAATCTAGCCAACTGTGGAAACCTAGATCTTTTCTGAATAGAACCATGGAAATCACCCCATCTCAATAGAGCAAGAAGATACAGCTTTACACATATCAAAATGGAAGTCACTAGTGAATTGGAGTAAAGAAGATAAAGCTTGACACATCAAAATGGACGTCACTACTGAATGGACTAATGATGTTACAGTCTTGCAGCTGCCCTCCCTAGGCCCATAAGGGTGGCAACAAACTGGGCCACCCTTGGCCCTGGCCCAGCCGCCAAATTTAACAATCTACTCTTTTTCAACTATGGCAATTTATGGTCATGTATATTCTAATGGATGTCAAATACTTGATCTCTTATTTGTATTTTGGTAAACTTCCCAATAGCTAATAGATAAATGATTCATCAAGGTCAAAAGAAACCCAAATCATGTCTGACACAAAGTACAAGTAATACTAGCGAGTCAGTGACACATTGTGTGTTGTATATCCGTGTAACCGTCTTGCAAAACGCTGCCATTTGATTCCAGTTCCAAATCCTGCAGCCATTGCTAACCATGAAAATATCAATTTATTTATAAACTCATTTCAATAGATTCAAGCCTGCGCTAAATGATATTTTAGGTCAACCAATTGGCCATTATACATATTGCCCCAACCAAAAAAAGAACAGAAAAAAAGAAAGCAATAAAGGAAAGGTCCAAAAGGGATGATTAGAGTGTTGATTTCCTGCACTGATCATGATCCACTCAAAACTTGCATTCGTTTTCCCCCTTCAAAAGAATTGACAGAGAGAGAGAGAGAGAAAGCTGACTCCATAAAACCCTTTCAACAAGCAGTAAAGTGGCCAAGGTTAAACCTCACATTGAACAAATTGTGGGTAGGTAAACCACATCAATGAATGATGAATACAATCTTCTCCGATGCATCCACAATGTGCCGGCAAATGCTCCAGAATGATACTCTGCATTTGCTAAATATATACTTTACAAAAATCCACCTCGATCAAACCACAAGAAACCAGAAGACCCCATAATGCAAAAACCCAACACCTGATGCCTTGTGCCTCACTTCTGCACCATGCAATTCTTACAATGGAGAGGTGTCGAGAGTCATTTGGAGATGGGGATAAGTTCTCAATCGTCCCATCTAAGGATACCTCACAATTCAACGAATTGGGTGGTATTGGCCAGAGATTCTTTTAGGAGGGAGCTTACGTAGGATGTAAAGAACAAGCGCTGAAGGCACTATCTCCGCCAACTGATTGCCATAACAGCCCCAATGGTCAGAAGAGATTCTTTTGTTTATTTATTTTTCATTTGACGAAAAATATATCAAACTCATCAAGTTTGGATTCAGGTTAAAATAACTGACCAAGTAATATATAAGGTTTAGAATTGGATGATCCATCACATCAAGAGACAAATGAGAATCAAATGCAGACCAGGCATCCTGCAAATCAAAGAGGCACACAAGTCGAGATAAAAAACCTATTGAGGTTTCTGGTTCCTTTTTCCAGAAAACAGATATTGCATGAAGCCATATGCACATGCAGAGGTGATTAACGAAGAAGTGTCCACCAACTAACGGTCAATAATAAAGTAGCATAGAAACAAGTAGGTTAGATTCTATTTTACATAAGCTAGGATTCTGCCATCAAGCAGGTGGAATACCAGGGCCCATTCATGTGAACAACCAAATGCAAATACACAGGAAGAAGAAATAATGACGAACCACAACATGGCTTTATTAGATATTTTAAGCTTAAATAAAAATATGCTATGTTTTTTTTTTTATAAGGATCAAAATATGCTATGTTATTAATTTAGAAATAGCCTATATGTGTAAGAAAACTGTGCATGCAGCACTACAAATTTTACACATCAAACTATTAATAATAGTATTTATGCACCACTTGATATGCAAAAATTAGCGGAAAAAAACTGATGTGGGGTACTCTTTTTTATTAGGGCACTTTCAAATGCAAGTATACATCATGGGGATATATAATTCACATAGAGTGAAATATAGAGATGCTGAATTTGAGTTAGCTGGTATCTTTTCAGGAAAGTAAGGGAAATCTAATGTCATCTGTAATTCAATTCAGCGTAAGGCAATCAGGTTCCCGGGTCATTTCTTAATATAGGAGTAAAGCATGAGCAGTAGTCCTTAATTCCAAGAGGAAACCATGAAGGTGAGAACCACAACTTTGTAAACCATGGACACTGAGAGATAAATGGGCCAGGATACCTTCTAATATGAGCCTGAGTATTAGAGCAGAACTCATAGACATGTGTGCAGTCATAAAACACCTTCGAGACATTTTTACTGAATAGAAATTCATAAGTTATCTTTTAATAAAAAAATTTATTAATAATTAACCTTTTCAGAAGTTGATCAGAAACTAAAAATATTATACTGAAATGGAAAAAATAAATATTTGTGAAGCCGCAGAAATAAAAATACGAGCGAAGGTGTAAAAATATCCATATAGTTTATCTACAACTGCAACAAAGATATAACATCATTTTAAAAGGGACCCCCCTTTTGTCTCTCTTTTATCCAAGAAAGACGATATTCATTTTTAGTTTTTATGCTCGAATCATCACATTATATTCATCCATCTTTTGATTGTCTCCAACATCTCAGGGATTTTTTCCCTTCCTTTTTCGCTTCCCAATTTGGATCATCACAAGGTGCAATTGCAAGCATTGCTGCTTCAGCATGCTGAGGAACTACAAAGCCTTAAATATAGAACAGTAAACATGCATGAAATGTGTAGACTGTGATTACTTACCACAAAGCACCGGATCAGAAAGCAAATAAAGCATATCACAGTCACAGAGCCAACCTGCCGCAGTACATCAAGTGTCAGGCACTGTCAGCATACCACAGTAACCTCTACAATCAACAAATTCTAAGTATTCAGTAGCTTAATGAAATAACAATTACAAAAGATGGCAAGAGCAGATAGTTCCCACTAGTAAAATAATTGCACGCAAACTGATCAGTAATTAACGAATTCCATCTATAAGCTGCCTGCACTAGCTCATGAAGCCACATCTTCTTCCACTACAGGACTCTTTCATTTCCATCTCATGTAATACAAAATAATTATAGGAAGACTATAAAATTTCAAGGACTTGTATGCTGATCTCTACATTACTGCAAGAACCAAATCTTCTAAGATTTTCAGAAGCAAACAATTCAACCCTTTATACATAATAGAAAGCGTAGTTTCGCTGTTTAATAACATAAAAAGCAATAAAAAGTTGATGGGATTTGAGTCCAAAAGCACTGGGGTGAGACGCTTCCCGATCTCAAATACCCTCATTGAAAGAATCCAACTAACTAGAGATGTCCATCCCATATTCGAGTGATATCATATTATTGCACTCAAACCGCATCAGCACTTGTTTATTTTTCTGTAGTTGTATCCACCAATAAGTAGATTACAGCTATTCCAACAAAAAAATTCATTATTTAACAAAATTCAAAGATTATGCAGTTTGTGCTATCTGTCTATACAAAACTATTGATCCATGTGTAATTCTATGCGACTTGAAATTTTTAGCGGTTAGCATTACTGGTTCGATAACTTGCCTGCAAAAGTGAAGAACTATCCACTGCACCACCAATATGATAAAAGTTTTCTTTCCCCAAAGATAGTTATTTCCAGCAAAATTTTAGATATTTGCCTACAATTATTTAATACTGTTTTTGAATAAATTTTAGATATTTTAGAACTATCCACTCCACTGTTTTTGTTTTTGAAGCCCAAACCTTTGCAGGTAAACTTGTGTTCTGATTGCTGTTTTCTTGTTTTCACATCATTAAAAGTTTTTTATTTCATTGGACTTGGAAGTAGCATGTTGCTAACATTCTTTCAAACTCCACAAATTTACAATTCAGGACGACTGCTACATCAGTTAAAAGCAGTCGGAATATACAAAAATATAACTTAGCTACCACAAGGCTAAGAAACTACATGTTGCAGGCATTCACGCAGGTGGTGTAATGCTGGGAGCAATTAGATTATTAGGAATCTCATGGTTGAAAGATGGCACTTCATATGCAGTGCAATAATTGTGTCATAATGCAATTCACAAGTATACGCAATCCTCAAATTTCAAGTGACAGGGAAACCTTGAAGTAAACCAGAATAAATATCATTTTGTTCCAGCTTCTTATAGCACCTTGATGAGAGTTTCAGAATACAATGTCATCTACTTCGTAGACTCATCACACTACCTCAGGATTAATTTGCACAAGTGCCCCGCTCATGGAGGAAAAGATACAGATTGCATCTCTTGCTTTGATAAAAGATGAAGACTAGATTGGTTGCTTGAAGAAATAAAAAGTTCACCCTTGGTTTCTTTTTTTAATTTTTTTTTGAGAATGAAAAGTTTACCCTTGTCAATCTGGAAGAAATGCTAAGGTACAAATGAAAGTTTATCCACAAAGAACAGCTAAAGTCTCGTGATTACTTGTGAGTTCAAAATTTACACCAGAACTAGAGATGGCTCAGGCTCATAATTTTTTTTTTCTCAAGACATCCAAAAAGCGCATAAATATGCCTATCCAGTTCGGTACGAATTAGAAAAACAAAAATGAAGCAATGGTAATGAGCCAAAAATGGTTAGAAATCAGTTCATGAACAATGAGCAGAACAATGATTGTCAATATGAACGAGAAGAGAAGGGCCTCAGTAATACATCATGCATGAAACTAAATAGAACTACTTAAAAAGTATTACCTAATGACTCGTCAAAACACAAAGTATCACAAAAATGGACACAGAAATAGTAGTCATGAAAGATGGTCAAAATGTTTCGCAATCTAGAATTACAGGAATAAAACAAAATAACCAATGAATAGATTTACAGACCTCATGAAGCTTCTTTCGCCTCCCCTTTGATTCAATAGGAAAACGCCTCAACATCAAAAACAATCTGCACATAGTCACATATAACAGTTATCTTCATTTGGTGTTTTTATAAAGGAAAACTTTTCATGAGGCAGTGGCTACACCCTAAACCTTGTGGTCACATGTCATTTCAACATTTTTTGATTAAGGACCTGAAAAAAGTTCAAAATCATTATCCTCATCCCAAATCCAATCTCCTGCCAAAACAAAGGATCTGGAGCTTTAAAAATGCTTCATCCCCATCACAATCCCAAATCAGGTCTGAAACTTCCATTTCAGTAGATTGGAGATCTGTGAGATTTGAAGCTTTTTAAGATATGCAAATTAATTTTTTGGTGTTGGAGAATAATTTCCAGAATAGTTGGAGTCTTATCGAGTTTCCTCTTGCATACAGAAAAATCGAATTTGAAGCGCTGCTTTACAACTTTATGAAATAGCTGCAGCTACATCATAAAGCACCCCAAAAAGATGATGCTATCAAATTGCCATCTCATAATGCTCTTCTATAAGGTATAAATTATGTATGGTGTTAAGTGTATTAATCTCTTGATAGTCACAAGCGAAATAAGACGCAACCTTCCTCCATAGAGCAGGAAACCCAAGGCTGCGAAAAATGATATGGCTGCAAAAGAAATGAATTCATAAGTCATGAAAGAAAGCATACTTCAGAATAAGAAAAAATTCCATAACCTCACAGAACAAGAAAATAGGTACATAACATGAATCTCAACCACAGAGCGTCATCACTTTCTAAACAGATCAATGATTTTGAAATATAGAGCAATATTTGAAGTTTAAGAGATGCATATGTGGATGCAGAAAATACAGAATACATTCAGCTCAACAAAAGTTAATAGAAAGAAGCACCACGAACCTGCAATAAATAGACTGCCAATTGACTCCACAACAACATTATCATCTATCCACAGATATATCCAGATGCAGACCTGATGCAAAGAATCATTCGATAAGTTTCAGTAGATGTGACAAATCGTCAAAGAATCATTCAATAAGTTTCAGTAGATGTGACAAATAGTCAAAAAGAATAGCATAAAGAGTGCAGTTCAGGTCAACCGGCTACAAAATGTGGTGTATGTCATTATCATTAGAGCCTTTTCCCAACTAATTAGGGTCGGCTACACGAATCATGTTCTGTCATTCTGCTCTATCAAGGGTTATACCTTCAGTGAGGCAAATAATGTAAATTCAAGATTCAGGGATAATTTTAGTAAAGTTTTACATTGGCTGCCAATCTAACATCACCCATGTCCTTTACCCTGGCTTGGGACAGGTCAAGGGAAAGTTTAAGGTCCTCACACAGCTTAAGACCAAAACGTAGTGCATGTGTGGACTGCAAAGTGCACCTTGGTGTATGTAGGTAGGAATAACTATTATCCTTCATGCAATTGGAAAACCAAATAATGCAAATGCAGAGAACAATGAACCAGTAACAGAAGATATATTGATAACAGCAGAGAAAAATGAAAAAATGGAGAGAAATTCAGCCAAAAAGAGGTTGATTGAGCCTTTGGGAATTTTTGTGGGTTGTGGTGGTTGTTCAATATGGCATGCTAGGGCTATTTTTTGGCTTCTTCGCTTTCCGTAATGGTTCTTCAACTATTATCAATGCTGAATATTAGGAAACAAACATGGCATTGCATTGACACGAGAAATTGGACGCACATGATTATTAGTTGAAAGTGATTCCACCTTACTTGGTGGCCATTTGGCGTGTCAGAACAGTCCTATACAACTCCATCACTCAAAATAGATCTCAGGGAAATTTGCGCATATCACATGTTTACAAGGAGGCGAAACAAGTTGCTGATGCTCTAGCTGTTATGAAGACTATCAATTCAGAGGCAACAGTTTTATGATCTAGTACACCTGATTATATTTCTCTCCTGTGATTTTAATGTGTCTCATTGCCACTTTTTAAGGCATCATTCTAACAAAGTTATACTTACTATTTATTAACTAATGAAATGGGTAGGGGACCTCCTTCCTGGCTGACTCATAACAAAATGAAAAAAAGTTATTAAAAAGAAATAATAAAAATACAAACCAAGGAAAAATGCTTTTCAGGTAATGAAAGATAAGGCACTTTCCAATGGTGGCAGTAAAACATAAAAAGAGTGATCATATCGAATGGAAAATAAATAGAAATAAAAAAATTTCCTATTAATGATCTATTCCACGTGTCTTCACTCGTGACAATATCTGTCAACAGCTAAAATCATGCCCCTGAACATCTTGCAGAACAAGCAACTATCAATCTCATGGATGATCTAGAACTCGTAAGAAATTGTCAAAAACTGGCCTGCTTGTACAATTATTGCATGCAGAACAGAAAGATGATGAACAGATAAAAGAAAGTCTCCATAGTTGAAAGATGAAAACCTGTATGAAATATATTCCACCATTTATCGAGATATAAACAATGCGAAGCTTGTCAGTAGGAAGACTTCTGGCCTGTCAACAGTACAGAGAGGGATAGCAACATGTTATTAAATCCATGAAATCAGGAAGAATTACCATCACACTCCCGCAAAGGAAATCTCTGAACCCGATTGCATACTTGCCTGATGATATATCTCTGCCCAGAACAAAACAAGCAGAGTATATGTAGAAAAGAACAACATTACAGGAAGATCCAATAGAACCAAGCGGAACACCTGTATGGCGCAAACCAGAATGAGCATATCTCTGTTCTTTTAGTTAGTCAATGAAACATCTTATATTAAGAGAACGATGATAAATGGCCATATATTGTCAACATTTCATAAAATAGATGCTTATCGACCATAGCATCTGGTAGAGTGAAGCATAGGAAAAATTCCCCGCCGAGTAGCATGTTACAAAATTATTGTTAAATAGTTACTAAATACTGATCAAGAACAGGATTTGCATGCAATAGTAAATGAATATTACAAAATTAAAAAAATCCTTAGGAGAACAAAGGAAGCCCACCAGGTAACACCTACCAAAAGAATTCCCATTTGTGTCAACCAGAATAATGAATGAACAAACCCAAATAACCAGAACAGAATCGTATCTGTGTTTATCAAACTACATGACATCTTGAAAATGTAGCAAAATATCCATGCTTCTTGCAATACAAGAGATGCAACTACACAAGTATAACATAAATTCATCATACATTATGCAATTCCTCAAGGCCCTTCCAACCTCAATATGAATCAAAGATTCCAGCTCCCAACAAATTGGACATTTTACCTTTTCAATAATTAGCACACTGCACATTGTGGAGATCATATACCAACCAATGTTGGCATCCAAAAGACCATAAATGTCCATAGAAGTATGAACAAAGACATGGTTAGGGAGGTTGTAGCATTTCAGTAGGATAAAACCTGTGTCTAAAAACTCCGCAAGTCTGACTCAGGGCCAGAGTCACTTTGAACCAGTACCCTGTTGGTTGGATGATTGGAGTCTGGACTGTGTTTGATCCGTGTCTGTCTGGGGTATCCAGCAAATATTTTCTAGAAAATGCTGTTTTCTTAAGATGGGACACACCGAGCCCATTCACCCTTCAGGACTCGCCTGAGTCACTTGGCCTGTGCCCTGCCTGGTTCTGTGTTTCTAAACACTGAGATAAACCTAAGAAGAATCAGTTCCAGAATGAAAAGAACTATTTAAGTAGAAGGTTTCAGTACCATTTATTGATGCAGTTCAATAAACAGCAAAACTTTTTGGGTTTCTCTTCATTGATCTAGCTGGAACTACAAGTTTGTGTGCTATTTGGGAGCTGCTCATGGTACCTGATTGTAGTTTTAACTTTCAACCAACCTGGTTGCAATCGGCCATTGCAGCTTGCTAGTATCCCAGGCTTGATTGACATTATTAAAGCTGGACTTGGAAGAATATCCCATTGTGGAACATTGACTAAATGAAATCCATCATCATCATCATAGCCTTTTCCCAATTAATTTAGGCTGGCTACACGAATCCTGGTCTGTCATCCTGGCTATAAGTCCCCGTATCTTTTCGGACTACTTCCAACCACATCCTTTTGGGCCTATCCCTTGCCCTTTTCAGTACTTCCATTTGAACCAACTCGCACCTCCTAACAGGTGTTGTACTTGGTCTGCACTACACATGGCCAGCCCACCTAAGTCTACCCTCTCTCATCTTATCGCCTATTGGTGCCACACCTAAATTCTCCCAAATGGATTCATTTCAAATTCTACCCCTTTTTGTCTTGCCACTCATCTATTTCAACATCCTCATCTCCACTGCACCCATTCTATGGGTATATTGTTTTTTGTTTGCCCAACATTTTGCCTTATCGAGCAAAGTTGGTCTCACAACTGTCCTATAACTTGCCCTTCAGCTTCATAGCTATGCGGCGATCACATAAAATTCCAATTGCACATCTCCACTTCGCCCACCTAGCTCTAATTTTATGTGCGACATCTTCCTCAATCTCTCCACTTTTTGGATTATTGACCCAAGATATCGAAAGTGGGGTCTTTTTTGAAGGTCGTCAATCTTAACTACTTCGTTGTCTCTACACTTATTATTACTAAACTTACATTCCATATACTATATCTTAGTCCGGCTAATTTTAAAACCTTTGGATTCCAAGGTATCCCTCCAAAGTTCTAAGTTTGTGTTGATGCCGTTTCAGTAAATCAAAATTATGTCATCTGCGAACATGCACCACAGTACCTCATCCAGTAAGTGCCTAGTTAAGTCGTCCATAATTAAGACAAAGAGGTACAGGCTCATGTTGACCCTTAATATAGACCTATTGTCACTGAAAACTCACTCGTCTCTCTACTAATTGTTCGTACACTAGTTAGCGCTCCATCATATATATATCTCACCAAATCGATGTAGTTGTCTGGAGACTCTTTTCCTTTCCAAGTTCCAACACCAGCCAAATCAAATATCAAGGTACTCTATCATAAGCTTTCCCTAGATCAATAAAAACCATGTGGAGGTCTTTTCCCTCCGCCCTATGTGGTTAAAAAGTTCAGCTTGTTAAGGTAGAACTTAATATGAACCATCATTTACCTATTAGGAGTATCGAGTATGATTTCACTTGATGCTTGAGTCATGTGGACTCACAGTGCCTGATCCAAGTAGACTCGCAATGCCTGAATCAAGTGGTCTCATGCGGGTCTCCCAAATAAAAAATACTTTTCAATGGGATTGCAGGACAATAGGGAAGAGTTGCATATATCAAACTTGATTTGCCAAACTCTTTAAAAAGGTTTCCTACTTTTTTATTGCCTCTATTTCTTGTGTGGAGGACCAGAACTAAAATGAGTGAGTTCTGGCTCTACAAAACCATTTTGATTGGTGAGGAAAAGATTCATTTTAAACTCTAAACCCACTTAATTCCCCTGATACAGTGAGTAAACGCTAGCAATCTCATTTTTCAATATTCTCAGATTTTTCAATTTTTGTGGTTCAATTCCCAAGTCGCAAGTCAAAATTTTCACTGTTCAAGAAAAAATTAAAGCAAACAAAATATGGCGCATTTCACCCAAAGATACAGATATCATGAGCCAAATCTAGATATGATAATTGGCAGACACGAAAAGCCCAAATGGATCAAATATTTCATCACATGTATTCGCATTCATGGTATCCGTGGAGAATAGAAACATAGTGAATGATGTGCCAACAGTGTCACATTAAGCAAGATCACTATACCTAAGAAATTCCTAGTGAAATATATTAGAACATAATGTGCCATCTAAAAATTAAGTGAAATAACCTTTGTGATAAAAAACATAAAAGTATAATATAAGAATATTAAGATGATGATGAGATCACCTTTGGCTCAAAACTAAACACTTGGTGGTGAAATCCAAATACAACGGCACGGACTGCAAATTTCATCACAATCAGCAAACATAAAGAAAGGCAATTGTCATAACCAAGATGAAGGAAATGAGATCACAAAAGTCACCTCCATTAACAATGAAGTTCATAAAATGGAAAACTTTCTGTGTTGTCCAACCATACTCTGGCACCCGTAGCTCAATACGAATCAATTGTATCTGCCAATCATAACACAAAAAAAACGGTCAACTATTTATCATAAAGTTGTCATACTGTAGTATAAACCAGTGATTGAAAACTCACTTTCAACTCCAAAACTCGTGAGTCAACTTGACTTGGCCAGTTGCTGAGTCTTATAATTGAAAAACTATATAAAGATATCCATATATTTTTTAGGAAAAAGTTTGTATAAGGTTACAACCTTGAAATGTAGAACTAAGGTGCATCTCAAAAATCCACTATAAAAGGTTGTTTTGATGTTGTAAAACCCTCTAATTGATCATCTCGACATTGAGATTTATGAATACGAATAAAAAAAAAAGATTTCAGAGTCCTTAAAATAGTGTATCTTGCAACATATTTTCTAGACCATCCATTTTCAAGACTTTCATGTGTTTATAGATCTACTTGATTTGAACCATTGTTAGAGTTTAAAATTTTATAATTAGAGACAAAAATAGATTCTCAAGCCATTTTAGAATTTTTTACACCAAAATTACATTTATGATAAAATTCGGAGGTGCGCCTTAATTTGAGTGTTTAAGGTTGCAACCTTATGCAAACCACACACTGTTTTTTATGGGTTGTTTTTCCATATAATTGTAGATGTGAACTTTGACTTGGAGACCAACTAGGTTTCAACCTAAACACAACTTTATATAATTTTGGGGTTTCTTTCGAAGGCAGGCGTTGTCAAACGTTGGTTTGGGCTCTTAACTGCTGGTCCAATCTAATGCTAACAACCAAGTAAACGAAAGAGGATAATCGACCTAGAAAAGAATAGAACAAAGAGACCAAGAAATTAAGCTGAAAATACTATAAAAAACCTGATTTTCTCAAGACTAAGACAAGCAGCATCAGTCATTGAAGTTAGTAATACAAGATGGGTGCGGTTTGTAGAAAGCCTAGGCTCTAAACAATCAAAATAGAGCGTACCTTCAAATAGTGTCGAGAAATGTGTTTCAATACTGAAAATATTTTTGATAGCCTTAAAATATATTTTCTGTCTTTATTTATAAAGTTTAAAGCTTCAAAAATAGTGTAAATAGAGAGATCTATGAAAACTTGAAAATATTGAAAATTTGCGGTCCAAAATTGCGTTACAAAATACACTATTTGAAAAAAGTGAAATCCATTTTTTTCTCATGCCCATGCATCTTGATGCCGAGATGATCAATTTGAGGATATTTGGGTATCAAAACAACCTCTTCTAGTGAAATTTTTGAGGTAGGCTCGAATTTGATTGTTTAGAGCCTCGGCTCTATATAAACTTTTCCCATAAAAGATTGCGTTAATAACAAAACCAACTTTCTCAATTCAAAACCTTCAAATAATAGCACAGTAATAAATCACCAAAATGAACATTCATCATCCTCCAGAATAATAAAGACAGATATCCCAGAATTGCGAAGGGCAATAGCTAATCAGAACAAAACAATGTGCTTTCACCAATCCTAGCCGGCAACCATAAATAAACAAAATAAAACACTAAAAGTTAACTTAAATTCTGAAAGAGATCAAGAGGGAAGAAAACCCTAACCAGAGCAACAGCTGAAACTAGGGCATAAGCAGCACAGAGGAAGAAGAAGATCCCATCTTGCCAGCTGCTCGACTCGTTGATCTCGGTCCACCACGATTGAAGCTCCACCGTCGAAAAAACGTTCAACTCCATCATTCTCTCTCTCATCTCTCCCTCTTAAACAGAACCAGAAAACGAAGGACTGAGAAAAAGAGCCTCAATCCCTCAATAGAAAAAAAAACAACCGAACAAACATAAATACAAGAAAGACTGCTAGAGTTGTAGAGAGAGAACAGAAGTTAGAGAGAGAAAGAGAGTGAGCTAAAATCGTTCCCTACCTGACAGTCCTTCCACCTAAGCTTCCTAAGAATTTGATTGCTGATGGGGAAAAAAACCCTCTCAGATCTTATCATTATTAAACAGAGAGAATTAATAATACTGTTTTTCATTTAAAATTAAACAATAAAAAAGGATGAGAATTTATATCTTAAGAAAAAATAAAAATAAAAATAAAAAGCATTTAAATAAAATTATTTTTTAAGAGATGATTCGAAACCCTTGAGGGTTTCTCTCTTCACTGAATAACTTTACCTACCCAGCAAAATTAGGAATGCCATCTTTTATCTCTACATGATAAAAGCATCTTGATCAATGACAAGAATACCCCTGTTTGCTATTTTAATTGACTACTTTGCCCTTGATGAGACTTCTAAAGGGTAGGAGTATGGTTTATAGTTATACAATGCGTCACCATTGGATTATCAAAGTCAATCGCTCTTTCAAATTCAGTCAAAAAGACGTAGATCCGTGTCAAACCTCCATGATTATCAAGGTTTTTGTTTATAAAAATTAAAATGCAAAACTGAGTTTGTATGCTATGAGATTATTTATTTTTGATACTAGTATTTTTAACTCTTGGTTTTGAAATTCAATATACAAAAGTATACAATTACTTTTAAATCCAATATACAAAAGTATGTTACAACATTCAATAAATTTTAGTTTGAACTTTTTGTTTAAACAATTATACATCATCAACCACTTGATTTCAAATCTAACGGTTAGTTATGATTGTGATTTTTTTGTCTCAAAAGTGAATACTCATTTTATAATTTTTCATAAAAAATAATGAAATCTTAACAAACCCCATACCCTTGAAAATTTTGAAACCAGATGATTGGAAAAATATGTTGCAAGGTCTTATTTTAGTATTTTTTGGAATTTTAAAGAACGGTCTCAAACTTAGATGCAAAGGGTAGCAGGATACCACAACGTGAGGTCTTGAATTTCATTTGCTCATTTCTTATTAATTAAAAAACAATACATTCCGACTTTCCTTTTTTAGATCCATGCATTTTGAGTCGAGAAATTGGAGGTTTTCTCGCATGGGGAACAAGCTCTTTATGCTCTTTTTGAGATGCGCCATTTATGGTTCTCAATGCCAAAACTGCATTTTTCTAGTGGGAATCAAGTTCAATTTTACATCATAAAATCCGCAATCTTACTCTAACCACACAAAAGAGTAAAATCAAGACCCTTCATTCATACAGAATTTATAAAACCCAAATGAAAAACATGCAAACAACTACTCGAAAGTCATTCAATCTTAGCCATCCAAACCAACAAATGATCAAAGAATAGGAATAAAAAGCCGACTTATTTCTACAGCAACAATCACATTGTATAATTAGAGATGAAAGCGCGAGCCATTGTGGATCTAACAAGCAACTTTGAAGCCGGACAATCCAATTAATGAACACCTCCAAATTTTATAATAATATGTAATTTTGGTGTTAAAAATTATTAGGACTAATTAGAACCTACTTTCATATCTAATTATTAAATTTCAAACTTAAAAAATAGTTAAAATAAAGTAGATCTATACACATCTTGAAAATGGACGGTTTTTTTGGACTATCGATCAAATATATCGAAAATGCGCTCTTTTTGGTAATTCATGCAATATTAACTATTTATCCGTCTCTACTCCTATTATTATTAAACTTGCATTCCATATACTCTATCTTAGTCAGTTTAATTTTAAAACCTTTAGATTCTAGAGCTTCCTACAAAGTTCTAATTTTGTGTTAACGTTGTTTTGGGTCTCTTCAATCAAAACTATATCATCTGCAAACAATACGCACCACGGTACTTCATCTTGTAGATACGTAGTTAGGTTATCCATAACTAAGACAAAAATGTATGAGCTCAATGCTTACCCCTGATGTAGACCTAATATCGAAAACTTACTTGTTTCTCTCACCAAGTCGATGTGGTATCTGGAGGCTCATTTATTTTTCAACACCCACCAAATCAAATCTCAAGGTACTTTATCATATGATTTCTCTAGATCAATAAAGACCATTTGAAAGTCTTTTTTCTTTACCTTAAACTTCTCAATCAATTGTCTAAGTAGAAAAATAATATTGGTTGTTGACCTCCATAGAAAATAGCCTTGATCGTTGACTTAAGTAGTAGGAGATATATCACCAAAATTTGAATTTGAAGTCCTAAGAACAGCTCTAGCTTATGAGGGAGTAAATAGACAATTTACTTTCGTGGGAGAACAAAATCATTCAGCAACCAATAAAAATAACAATTCAACCCAAATTCTACAATGTAGAATAACGGTTCGAACTTTATCTTCTTGTCATAAAAATGTTAGGAAAAGAAAACGAAAATAGAGGAAGCAAGTAACGAGATGTACGAAGAAGAACCAACCAGTATTCTTGCTATGTCCTACTGGCTTTGACAACCTTAAAAATTTAAAAATTGATTTTCGATTTTTTTTTTTTGGGTGAGTCAGTGGGGAAGTGCCTCTACCCCTATAGAAATTGAGCCTAAGACATAACTGAAAGTCTGCACATCCAATTATCTATTTTTAATGTGTATATTTAATGCCGAGTCATATTAAACATATGTTTAGATAAGAGAATCTCACACCCCGGTATATTTAATGCCGAGTTGCATTAAATATACGCTTAGGGAATGGAAACTCACTCCCCGGTTCTGAGTTGAACCAAGTGCTGTGGTGAGACAAAGTGCCATTGTGTTAAGTGTTAGAAAAGAATAAACACAAAAAGGGGTAGAAAAGTTGGGGAATGAAGAAAAGGTAAATAAAAAAAAGAAAAAAAATAAACACGAAAAGTTGAGGTTGAAATAAAAAAATAACATAAATTTCTTTATTTTGATGCAAACAAATTTGCATTAAATCAGATAAAAGGTCAAGCCATAAATGAAAAAAAATAAAAACCAAAATTTCATCATCTAATTTTATCTATTGGGATATATATAAAAAAATTGATTTACGTCTTAAATGAGGGTTGCAGAGTGCCACAAAAATAACATCTTGATATCTAAGTTTTACCATAGGTAAGGGATATCTTTCCCATAGAAATACAAAAAAAGACTTAATTATTAATAATTAAAATATCAAAATCCAATTTTCTTGAAAGAAAGTAGGAAAGATGAGAATCTAAGAAACGGGGGAGTTGTGAGAAAACCAAATTTTGATTCTAAAGACTTTTTTATTTTGATTCAAGATTTTCTAAGGACTATTGTAAACCGTTGTGATAGGAATATTTTCTAGCGAATTTAATAGAATTTGGTGAAAAAACAAGACAATTCCGAAAATTTTTATTTCGCATTAAAAAAACTCCCAAACTTTCAGCTCATAATTTCTTCTATTTTGGATTGTGATTGACAAATAATCCTACCGACAGGAAAGATGGCTTGACAAAAATTTCAAAACTATTTTCATGATTTCTCATGGAAAAATGAGGAAAAGATATTAAAAATTTGTTACGAGACTAAAAATTTAAATGGTGTGATTTTTACAAGGCTGAGGTCCAAAACAATCAATGTAAGGCACACCTTCAGATATTATCGAAAGATATATTTTCAGTACAAAAAATCTTTATGGTGGTCCGAAAATTTATTCTCATTTCTAATTATAAAATATAAAGCTTCAAAAATAATAAATCAAGCAGATCTATGAATGCATAAAAAACTTGAAAATTAACAGTCTAGATAATACATTATAAGATGCAATATTTTCAAAGTTAGACATCCTTGGTTTTTGTATCTACGTATCAGGTCGAGAAGATCAAATTTGAGAATTGTTTTTCGAAACTTCTTCCACCTCAAGGCCTCAACTTTATATAATCTTTTTTCAAATAAATCATGCATAATCTTTTTTCAAATAAATCATGCAAATCCTAAAAGAATACAACATACGCCAACGCACACTCATCCCAAATTGAAGAGTGTAGGTGTCTCATGTCATCAAAAGATGAAAAATACTTTAGTCATTTTCCTTGAAAGCTTATGAATGATATCCGTGTCCCCTATCTTAATGAGAAGTCTAGAACGGGGACCACCATATATACTCCCTCTAGAAACCTAAAGGGACCACCACTAACAAACTCTCTCTGAAAAAGTTTTATATAAGTGTGAGGCTCTAAACAATCAAATTAAAGCTCACACAAAAAATTTCACTAAAAGAGGTTGTTTTGATGTTAAAACATCCTCAAATTGATTATCTCAACATCAAGATGCATGGACATGAGAAAGAAATGAATTTCAAGTTTTGAAAATACTGCATCTTGTAATATATTTTTGGACCGTCAATTTTTAAGATTTTGAAGTTTTCATATATCTGCTCGATCTAGACTATTTTTGAAGCTTTAATTTTATAATTAGAGATGAAAATATATTTTAAGACTATCAGAAAGATTTTTAGAATTGAAACCACATTTCTCGACACCATTTGAAGGTGTGCTTTACTTTGATTGTTTCAAACCTCGACTCTATGCAAACCGCACCCATCTATCTTTCCGCTCCCTCTCTCTCTAGCTCTGACTCTTCCCAAAATTGAGACAAAACAAATTATTTAATGTATAAAAGGACCCAAATGAATATATAGGATTCGCATCATATAGCATTGTAGCAAAGGCATATGCTTGAATTTAGACCATTGAGATTATTTGCTCCCTATTTTTTGGTGGTGATTTGACTTGTTGGTACATAACTTTTAGGTACATGAAAATCTGGTTACTACCTACTGGACTAAAGTGAATGACATTCTACATTGCCTGAAACGGACCAGGTTGTGAACATAGGCCTCATGTATAAAATGCATGTGAAGGTTGGTCCCTCTCTTGGTGTTGTTCAAGGTTTTAAAATTCGTTGATTTGGATCGACATCATCATCGTTTCGGATTTCTTAATATATCGGGATTCAGACGGTCCACCCCTGAACCGGCAACTGATCTTCTTTCGCCACAGAACCGGTTTGGCATCAACGAACCTCTTTGAAATATTTTGGAACGTCACGTTTTTCGTTTAATTTTTGAAGCACCTATCTTTTTTGGACTCGGTACCTATGTAGGCAAGCCTGCATATGTAGAAATGTAGGCCTCTCAATAAATCTATTTTTGAGATGGATTTTAAGACTTGATTTTTAAGGATATGTAATATCTAACATGGACATCATGAATATGAGAAAATAAATAAATTTTAAAAACTATAAATAATAATCGTAGTAACAAACTATTTGGGCCGTTAGTTTTCATTGTTTTTAAATGGAACACATACTTG